TTGTGCAATGCCCGCAGAGGTCAGAAGAGGCTGTCGGATACCCTGGGACTGGAGTTATGAACAGTTGTTAGTTGTCATGTGGGTGCTGGGATTCAAACCTGGGTCTTCTGCAAGAACAACCAGTATTCTTAACCACTGCACTATCTCTCCAGCCTCTATTTTATTTATTTCTAAGACAGACTCCACTGTATAACCCTGTCTGGCCTGGAACTCACAGAGCCTCACTTGCCTCTGGCCCAGATTAAAGGTGTACACCCCCATTCCTCTGCATGCTTTAAATGTTTTAATTGCCTTCAACAGAGATAACTTGATCCTTTTCTACAGCAGATAAGCTAATTTGTCAAAAGGACTGAACAACTGCCTTGCTCAACTGTAGAGCTGAAATTTTTACCTTACTTGTAGCTCCTAAATTAAACTGCCGTGTCTATGAATTCCTCCAGAAGGCACAAGATTGCTTAGCAGAGACAGAGACTCAGAGTACAGTGTAGCAGCATGAACTTCATGCTTGTGTGGGTTCCGTTGTTCTTTCAAGAAGGTGGATGTTTGCTCAGGAAGATGTGCAAGTGGGATTACATCGTAGCTCTGGGACCTTGAGTTTCAGGAAGGCAAAACTAACATGTCACAGGCCCTCCTGTTTTTCATGTGTCTTTGTTATTCTGGACACTAAACATGTCTGCCTTCAAAGGGAGAGCATTGTATCTTTGAAGGCTTTTACTATATGTGTGTCCTTGAGAAGGACCGAAACAAATGTCAACAGGTAAACCGTGCATATATGGTCTATAGATCTGCAGAAATGAGACCTGTGGAAAACTGTCCCTCTGCTAAGTTAGATTTTGCTCTCCAGTAATGCATAAGACATTGTCACTGTTTTTTGTTTGTTTGTTTGTTTGGTTTGGTTGGTTGGTTGGTTTGGTGTGTGTGTGTGTGTGTGTGTGTGTGTGTGTGTGTGTGTGTGTGTGTGTATATGTATGTGTGTGTTTCCATAGTTTGTATGGATTGTTTAAAAATGCTAATACACTCTAGTCAAGTTGAATCTACAGGCCAGGAAGTCAGTCTGCCTCTCTTACTTTCGAATGTTTGGGGGTCATTTCACAATGAACAAGATAGTATGTGTGAGTGAGGTCATGATCCAAGACCTGTGGTATATTTAATACATACTAAACCACCAAGAAGCCACCATAGAGCTTAGGAACATGAACATCTATCTGTCCCTTCGCCTTTATCCTCCATTGCTTTGAGTTTGTGTGCTAGTATGCCCATGCTTTTATTATTTCTACCACTTCCCCTTTTCCTCTAGCCAGTAGATATTTCAGGTGTTTCCAGGGTTGTCTTGTTGGTACTGATGGTATAAATAAAATGTTCTTCTCTCTAGCTATTCATCCATGCACATGAATTTCTTAAGGTGTATGGGGTGAATTTTTGATGATGTGCTGCAAAAACTAAGCACTCTTTCTGTATATGGGTTTATAAGTATAAAATAGGTATACATATGATAATTCTCTAAGTTTATTTTAAAACAATTTGACACACATTTATTTTACCCTTTAGTAGAGATGAACCACAGCTTGCATACTAATAAGATGGATGTACTTGTTTGTTTTAGCTCCAACATTTTTCTGAATTGATCAATATTTTGATTTATAATTGTCAGTGCTGAGAACACCACTTCCCAAAAATACATAGTACAAAATGGCAGACATGTGTTTAGGGCCATTTAAGAAATTTTTTGGAACTTCTGTACTAATCCCAAAGCAAAGTTTATTTGATAGTTTTTTTTTTAAGTGGAACTCAAGTCAGCAACTCAAACAATCTTTAAAATACAGTAATTCCAATAGTACAATCCAAAGAGACCTGATTTGATGAATGCCGAAGGGTGACAGAAAGAAAATAATAAAAGCCCTTTTTCGTAATTAAGCCATGTGTTTCTCTACTTGCAGAAAGCTTTATTGTACAGTAAAAACAGTGCCATTCATAACATGCAGTAGTCTTGAATCTGAGCCAAGGTATTTCAGAAAGTTCATTGGTGTGAAGTGAAGGCATGCACACGTGTGTTTAAACACGGGCTTCAGCGAAGTTGAGACGTGGACGAGTGCTGCCAGCAGCTCCTCAGGTTCACGATGGCCAGAAAAATAGGTAGTGAATACTGACATGGTCAGCTAGTCTTCGTTACAAACAATAAATGTGTGCTAAAGAGACAGGTATCACTCTAAATCCTGTAGAGAAGGAATGATCTAAAGTGAAGCACATGACAGTTACCTTCCTTTGGTATTGTGGTCATATGAAATCAGTCTTAAAGAGAGTAATGCTCAGAGCAATCATAGTTATGCATAAACAGTAAAGTGTTTGTAACAAAGGGAACTGAAGACTGCTTGATTTATGTCCCTTAGCAGCATGCTATTCATAAGTCTCTGCATTAGCTCTTCCAGCAGCCCTCTGCCCCGTCTCCAGGGCCAGCCTGTTTGTAGTTGGAAGTCATGGGTAAGAATCTTGGGAAAGCGGAACTCTCCTCCTACCCTCAGGTGTTCAGTCAGCAGTTTAGAGTTTGGTGGGATTTCATCCTCAATGCTAAAATAAAGTGATCCAGAAAGTGTTCTTAGTGACAGTAGGTCAAAAATACATTCGCAAGTGCAAAAGTTGTCAGTTGATGTATATTTAAAGCTTTTGTCAGTCAGGGCAAAAACTGAACAACAAATCAGTCGTATTTTTATATATTTCAAAAGAGACAAGACTACCAAGAAATTGACTACTTGGTACAATAAAAATTGACTACGGACTTGCGCTGGGGAACATCTGAGATCACTGACTTGACACATTTGGCCTTAACACGACTGAGAGTATATGGGGTCCAGTGGGGTAGGGGCTATGGGAGGTTGCCTTTGAGGACAGGGGTATAAAGTTGGTTAAAGTTGTTTGAGATGTTCTGTATAAAATACACAAATTCAGTTTAAAAAGATTTTTTTTTTTAGAGAGAGACTTAAGCCCAGTACAGACAGTGCAGATACACTTCATTTGAAGATAATACTAATAACTTTTCTTCTTGGGTTTCAGAATGTGTGACTTCCTTAATTTTGTTTTCTGTGCTACTATTTTAAACTTTTAAAAGATACACATATGATATGTGTACATATGTGTAAAATTTTAGATGAATCTAGGATGGGGGACTGACGAGCTAAGATGGTAGGAAGTTTTTACCATGTGCATGTGTTTTTATTTTCAAATATGGTTTTATTGGGGTTGGGGATGTAGCTCAGTGGTAGAGCACTTGCCTAGCAAGCACAAGGCCTCTGGGTTGGGTTTGGTCCTCAGCTCTGAAAAAGAAAAAAGAAGAAAAAAGACAAAGTAACAAATTATAGTTTTATTAAGTGTAACTGGGGTTTGGATCAAAGTGTTTCAGAAATGATGGAAACAGGATTACTGAAATACTGATAATTGTTGAAGCTGGATTGTAGACATGAGAATCCATTATGTTCTTTCCTTTTTCTGTATATTTCTATTTTTCATTATAAAATCCTAAAAATTAAACAGTGATAAATTGTGATCATAATCTATGTAGTTCTGAAATGGTCTTTGCAACTCAAGCTAAGATTAAATGTTGTCTAATCTTAAAAAACCAAACAAGCAAAAAACTGGGTTTTACAAGTTTCTTCTTTACAAAAGTAAAGTAGGGGAGGAAATAATTCTGTTTTCCATGAAAAAAATTTTGAAAAAACTTTACAACCTTTAAGTTATGAAGGGTTGGAATGTTTGGTATACATGGTGTTTTTAAAATATTTTATTATTTATATTTTATGTGTACGAGTGCATTGCCTGCATGTATGTAAGTGCACCCATGACATGCAATGCCTGGGGAGGTCAGAAGAGGGTGTCAAATCCCCTGGAACTGGAATTACAGATGGCTCGTAGCCACCATGTGGGTGCTGGGAATGGAACCCGGGTCCTCTGCAAGAGCAGTCAGTGCTCCTAATTGCTGAGCCATCTGTCCACCCTGTATATGCCAACCTGTATAATTTTAAAAGCAAGATATTCCTGCTGTTGTCACTTCATGTAGAAATTCTCTGTATTTTAGATTCCTTTCAGCCAGCCAGGCCTAGACCTTCAGAGCCGAAACATGGAGTATGTACAGCGGCAGATGTCCAAGGAGTGTGGAAGCCTGAAGTCCCAAAACAGGGTAAGTAATATTCCTTCATCTCCTGGTTTGAAATGAAACGGTTCAGCATCTAGGTGTAATTTCCCACTGAAAGTGTACACAGATTTTTCAGTGTGTATTTGCTGCATCTGTACATAAAAACTCCATTACCTCTCTTTCATCCGAGCCTCTTTTGAGTCTGTATCAGATGGAACAAAAACGGGAATTGTGTGTTGTTAATTTAGTGTGTGTTGTTAATTTAGTGAACTGTGTCCTTCACCCTTCCTTTAGCCCAGACCTGGAATTGACTCCCATTCCAAATATCTGGGAAATAGAGGCTTGGCCCCACCTGAGTTAGTGCTTACTTGTGAAATGGTCTCTGTATCCGGGAATTGGAGCTAGAAGATACAAAGTTAACTACGGAACACCCACCCCCCTTGTGAGTGGTGGGAAGGGACACATTTTCTTTTCTAGCCTCCAAGAGCCAGTCTGGGTTAGAGGAAAGTGAGGGTGTGGGAATGGATCTCCTAGACATTCAGCATAGCCAAGCTATGTGTTTCCTTGTATTAGTTTGTTAGGGTTCCTATGCAGAAGTTTATTCTCTCACAGTTCTCGGAGGGCTAGGGCTGGGGAGATAGATGCTCAGTGGATAAAGCTTATATGGGAACCCCAGCACCCATGTAAAAGGGACATGTACCTGTTAACCCAGCAAGGGAGAAGCAGGGGACAGGCAGGCCCCAGAGCTCCCTGGATAACCAGTGTAAACAAAACAGGAAATTCCATGTTTGGTGAGGGACAGCTCCATCTTCAGTGCTCATGTCATTGTCAGCTAGAGGAAAAGTAAGGCACACCACCAGCATTTTATGAGAAATCTGCTGAATACCCATGTTAATGACAGACAAGTCCTGCCTTCTACCTATGCTAAAGCAGGATTCACTTTTTTTGACCCTCAAGAGTAGCATGCTCCTCATTTCCATCCAGATCCCCACCAGGAGGACAATAAATTCTGTATTTTTGTCAGTAATCTGTTCCAGGCTCTTTCACACACACTACTCATTTCTTCTACATTTATAAGATCTGTCACAGTGGCTCCCTGCTTTTTGACACTAGACTCTGAGAAGCAGAACCAGTGGGATATGTGTATGGAGCTTCTGTTTTAAAGAATTGACTCATGCAATAATGGGGTACAAATCTGAAATCTAATTAAGGCCTTGTGGCACAGACCTATAACCCCAGCCACTCTGGGCAGAGGCAAGAGGAGCCGAATTGAGATCATTCCCCAGTACTGGAAGGAAATACAGCTCTAAAAGTCTGCTAGACTAACTGCAAATCTAAAGATAAGCTGTTAGACTGGAGGAAAAGCTGGGCCCTGAGGGTAGAGGCCGCTGTTGGCAGACCTTCATCTTGCTGTGGGGGGATTAGTCTTTGTTTTGGGCTTCCGCTAATTGGCTGAGGTCCACCCACATCATGGAAGAGAAGGTGGTCTGTACTTGACTTGTAGTCTGTCAACTGAAAGGTGGAACTTACCCAAATAATTAGTCGCAGAAGCTCCCAGAGTAGTCCTTGAATAAATACCTAGGTAGGGTCACTCCTTCAGATTGACATGAAATTAATCGTCATCGTTCTTTCTTATCTCTTCTAGGTCCCTTTGAAGTCAATCAGACATGTCAGCTTTCAAGATGAGGATGAGATTGTCAGAATAAATCCTCGAGATATCTTAATACGTCGGTATGCGGACTATAGACATCCTGACATGTGGAAAAATGACTTGGAGAGAGATGATACTGACTCCACTATTCCGTTTTCTAAACCAGACAGTAAAAAATCAGACTATCTCTATGATTGTGGGGATGAACCTAAGTTAAGTTCGCTGAAAGACTCTGTGGTATTTAAGACACAGCCTCCCTCATTAAAATTTAAGTCAAAACGAAGGAAAGAGGATGGTGAACGTTCTCGCTGCGTGTACTGCCAGGAAAGGTTTAATCATGAAGAAAATGGCAGGGGAAAATGCCAGGATGCTCCAGATCCTATTAAAAGATGCATATATCAAGTTAGCTGCATGCTTTGTGCAGAGAGCATGTTGTATCATTGTATGTCAGACTCAGAGGGAGATTTTTCTGATCCTTGTTCATGTGACACTAGTGATGACAAGTTCTGCTTACGATGGTTAGCCCTGGTAGCTCTGTCTTTCATTGTACCATGTATGTGCTGCTACGTCCCTTTGAGAATGTGCCATCGCTGTGGTGAGGCGTGTGGGTGCTGTGGCGGGAAGCATAAAGCTGCCGGGTGAAAGAATCCAGGGCCAGAAGGAGCTTAAAATCTTCCTTTCCAGGAATTAGCTAACTTGGATTTGTGGAAGCTTTTGGCAAGCAACATGGAATCTTGCCTGGTGTCATTGGGGTCACACGTGGAGGAAGCGGAACTCGTCAGTTCTTGTCATTTTACAGATGCTAGCCATGCCTAACGTTTCCCTTGAGTGCATGGCATGTTCTGTGACAGATCGTAGAGCTTTTGCAGAAGGAAGCCATTTCTGGTTATTGACTACAAAAGGTCAGCATAAAATACGAGCCAACTAAAAGGGATTAATTTTGGCATTTTTATATTTATGCATTAGATGATGGGACTTTCAAAGGTTTGAATTCTTTAGAACATGAACTAAAAAGTGCACTAAGGGACAGTTGATTTCAATATAAGAAAAGTTAACACTTGGGAATTAAAAGCAGTAAAACAAGTGCAACTAAATCATTTATTAGTTGTTTTTCAAAGCAGTTTTATGTATAAATAACAAATGTTTATATTTAACTAAATGCAAGGTACGAATTATTACATATTAAACTTTTCTTGCCCTTCCTAGTTCTGAGGTAGATATACATATATCTGCCATCACATTCCATATATTTTGAATTTTAACTCATCTAGTTAATAACATTTATATTCCATGTGAATGATTTGATATTTCCATCCTCATTTCTCTTTGGCTACAGTTTATATTGAGTTCTCTCTGTACATTCTGGTAATCTAAAATCTTTAAAAATACTCTAATAGCCTTGAGTGACCAACTTTTTTTTAAGCACAGATGTAATTGTCTAATGTTTTGAGGGGAATGTAACACTTATTTTTATATAAAGAGACTGAGTAAACATAGAAGAAAATGAACTTTTTTAGGTTTTTTTTTTTTTTTTTTTGTGTGTGTGTGTGTGTGTGTGTGTGTGTGTGTGTGTGTGTGGTATTCAACCAGCAAGTTGTTTTCTTTTGGTTTTCTCCTTCGAAAAACTTTACTGCATTTACTTTTTTTTTTTTTTTAAAGGCAAAAGGCGTAACTGGATAGTGAGTGTGAGACAGCCTCCTCCTGAGATTTCCATTCAGCGTTCTACTAAGCCAGAGTATGCCCAGCTGTGTTAATTTTTTTTTTTTTAGCTTAGTCCTGTGTTTGTTACTCACGTAACAAAAACTTTTCTCAGTTGCATTTTATTTTTATTTAAACCAGAAGCAAAATTATTTTGTGTTAAGATATATGCAAAATTATCCCAGGAAAGTATTTAATCCACCATTGTGAATGGAATAGCTTATACAAAATGTATTCTGCAGATCATTTATGTTACTGGTTGTTAATTTACAAAGTAGTATGGTACATGTCCCAACAAACTATTCAAAAGTATCTTGGGGTCACATGATTTTTTTTTTTTTTTTAAAGTGTTACATTAAAACTCTTAACCATGAAAGGGATTCTTTAAGAATATTCCCTTAGAGGGATAAAGTTAAGAAGTGTGCCTTTTTCTTTTTTTTTTAATGGCTTAAAGTTTCAGAGGTGATAGAAATTAAAATCACACTACCATTTGAGGCTCATGCTCTGCAGGTTTTAAATGTCATTTATGTATGGTTCATTATGTGTCATACTTCAGCTGTGTTAGCTTTCTTTTGCCCCAGATCAAACTGAACATTGTATATAACACTGTCTGTAAAATACTTTTTTTAAAAAAGCATTTATATTTATATGACAGCTTGAACTGACAACATTATGTATATAGATCATCTTGAAGTATTATTTCACATTGAAAAGAAGAAAAATATATTGATAACTATAGATGTTATGAAGAAGAGGTTATTTCTAGTTTTGTACTAAAAATCAATTGGATGAACTTAATCCAAAACAGGACACTGCAGCAGCAACTTCCGGTGTTATTTTTACTGTTTATATATTTGAAGGCTGCTACACCGGATGACCTTCGTCCCTGACGTTTTCAGCTAAACTTGGTTTCCTAGAATAGACTGTTAACTTTCAAATTTCCTTTTTATTGCTAAAATGGGAATACTGATTTTCCTTAGGACTGAATATTCATATTTGTAAGTGCTGAGTTTGATAATTCAGGTTTGAGCAAGGTGTGAATAACTGAAGAAAATAACTTGCTGGCTCTATAGGAAAATGCTGTGGAAATGAGCTGTGTATATACTTCTGGGAAGAACAAAATTAATCATTTCTTCTGTTAAGCACTAACCAGCATAGTGCATCTCCTGGTTCTGTACTGTATTTTATATGCAACATATATGCTTTAATATTTTAATGTTTGTGCATTAATATTTTCAGTTTGTTTAACGTGCTGAGTTTGATAATTCAGGTTTGAGCAAGGTGTGAATAACTGAAGAAAATAACTTGCTGGCTCTATAGGAAAATGCTGTGGAAATGAGCTGTGTATATACTTCTGGGAAGAACAAAATTAATCATTTCTTCTGTTAAGCACTAACCAGCATAGTGCATCTCCTGGTTCTGTACTGTATTTTATATGCAACATATATGCTTTAATATTTTAATGTTTGTGCATTAATATTTTCAGTTTGTTTAACCACTTTGCTGCTAAGATTTTGCCGTCCCATTCCCATATTTTTCCTTTATCATTTTAAACGTTTCTTCATTAAAACTATGGTGATGAAATGATTTTTTTCACCTTGGATCTTTGTAATTAACATACATGATTTCCAATCAGTCCAGAAAACTGAATCCCTGTATGAAAACAAATGGACAGTTTACTCCCTCATCCCAAGCGTGTGCAGGGGCGTTCAGGAACACATTCTCATTCTCTGTACAGACTGGGCACTGCCACTGGCCATTTCCTTTGAAATGTTTCTCATTTTGCCTGAATATACACAAATGGCTCAACAAAACTGTTAAATATTGAAAACGAAAATCTTACCTAAGTGGCATGACAGGAAAGAATTGGGCCTGATGAGCTTGTTTGCCCCCAAATTGGTAGTGATACTTGGGACTCTACAGGCAGTTGATTTCGGAAGCAGTGGCCGCGTGTGGAGCTTCAGCACCACCTGCTGGATGATTGTAGACCAGAGCCCAGAGGTGGAGATGGGGTTCTGCTCTGCTCCTCACTGCTGCCAGTAAAGGGCTACTGAGGGGTGACCACCGCCACCAGGGAAGCCAGGGGCAAGAAACAACTCAAAGGAGATGTATAATGAGTCTTTCCTCTAATGCATTTGGTTGGTCACTGAAAGGTTTTAAGCACTTTTTTCTTACATATCCTGTTTCAAAATATTTATTGATACTTGGAACTGGCAGTCAGACTTACTGGATGTACTGAAGCATTTAGAGTGCCAGTTCTTTTAACTCACAAAAGCCATTACCAAAATGGTATTCTTATTTTTCTTCCCATTGCCAGTCAGGGAGAATTTTTTAAAAAATAAGCATAATTGCCTGTATTTTATCATGACAACTTAGAGAGTGTGTATATGTTTCTGAGATGATGATGGGGGGTGGGGCTTAAAATTTAAAGGGAAAAACTTGAAACTACCTATTTTCATTGGTTATTCAGCAGTGCCTAAAATGAGCTTTTGAAATAATACAAATGCACTTTGAATTCGTGTGTATAGTGCCATCTGATATCTTGGGTAAGTCTTGCTTTTCCTTTCTACTCCCTTCTTCCCCTTAGTTAAATGGCACACAGGTATTTTCTAATATCCATGTCAGTCTCTAGGCTACAGGAAACTCATACTTTCCTCTAAATGGACAATTTAGAGAATTTTAAGGATGTTTCTTCTGTTGAAATGTAGTGTTTATGATTACATTTGGAATATGCAACTTGGAAATAATGTGTTTAAAAATAGCTTTTAATTGTAGTTCAATAGTGCATTAAGCAAGTATAACATTTTTCTAAAAAGGAACTTTGAGAACTTTAGTTAACTGATTAAAAACATATTTCACTAAATGTTCTCAGTCTTACTCTGACCTCCACAGTAATTCCAATATGAGGGAAAGCACTACAAACTTGCTTTATTATTGCACTCAGAAAAAGGTCTATAAATCACCATAACAGGAACAGATGGTGTCTTGTGGTGAGTCGAGCTAAAAATATTTTTAAAAACAAAATACAAGCAGAGGTGATTTATATAAACCAAAAAGTGGATGGAAGGGGAAGAAAAATTTAAAAGGGCTTTAAGGTACGGTTCGCCCAGCAGCCAGGTGATTGATTAGAAAACGTTCATCTGCTTTGGTACACTGATTAATGTCAGCCACGGCTCCTGAAAGCTTCTAAAACTGCATACGTTGTTTTGAAATTATTTCAAGAATAATCTAGTTGAAAAGCCTTTGTATTAAAGATACACAAGTTTTCTGTGAACACTTCAGTATGTGGTGTCGTTTGCTTTCTATTTTCTTGACCTCAGAAGTGCCTCACTTGTATATTACTCCCATAAAAAGCTTGACTGCATTCTTTCTAATGGGCAATGGAAGCTGTTTAACTCCTGTCATAATGTATCTCCTCAGACATAGTCAAGTAGCTTTTGAGTATATAATGTAAATATGCATATGTAAGTTTGTAACTGTTTGTTACATCACACCATGTAATTGGACATATCAGATGATAGAATTGTTTCAATGATTTCTCTTCCCCTGGAATTACCTGATTAAACCTATCTTGAAATTTAAAAGGGTTTTTTCTTACTCCTTCAGAGCATATCAAGTTATTGTAGGAGGTGATAACTAGTTTGTTATAAATTAACACATAATTTTTAGTTTTGAAACATGATGCATCTTCCCCAAATTAACCATCTTAGAGATGTGTGGTGGCTGTTTAACCTCAGACTGCTGGGCTTTGTGTGTGCATGCCTGCACTGCCCGCTTGCACTTATAATGTGAATTAGAACAGAAAGCTGTCAGAGGGATAACCTAATCAAGAGCGATAGTGTATCTCAACATCAAAAGAGCTTTCTTATATTGTCGTTGCAGTCATTTGGAGAATTAACTATACCGTTGAGTCATACCATGTCATCCATGCTTAGTAAAGGTTTTGTGAAAGTTGCAGTATGTTCACATCGAGCCAGTATCCCCATGGAAGGAAGAGCTTTATATCAGGGAAGTTGTGTCTAGTGCTCCTGGGATTCGGTACAGTGTCATTAAAAATAATGCTCCTTAAAAAAACAAAAACAACAACAAAAAAACATGGATATTATATGATAGCTGGTGTCAGTTTCAGTTACTGTCCTGGGATTTGTGGTTTTAAATTCTTGAAATAAATGATGAGTCAAGAAATGCATTCCTAACATAAATGTCTAACAAAAATCATAGTTAAATGGCTTTCTATCTTTCTGTGATGTGGTCATGTTTTATACTTCATCACATTTAAACTTCAGATAATTATAATATACTCATGTTCATTTTTCTAAAGAGGAGCTTTAGGTTTTGAGAGATTGAGGAGTACTCATAAGATCTTGTAAGCCTTGGTCTTAACCAAATTTCGTCTGACTCCAAAGCCCTGGTACAGTTTTGCCTTTGTAATAGGGGTTCAGCTGTGCCTCCTGGAGTAATCATTCATGTGACATTCACATGATTAAACTGAAAATTTTAAGTTTTTTTAATGTTTGCAAATTTCATACAATATGTTTTGATCACATTTGGACACCCATTTCCTATCTGTACCCCCTTACTACCCCGTATACCCAATTTCATGATATATATGCATGTATATGCACGCACGCCTATCTGGTCAAATTTATGTCCCCAAATGTCCTTTGGTGGTGGGAGCCTGGTTAACCTACCCAGAGTCACAGCTTTAAAAAAGACTGACTCTCCAGGTCTTGGTGGCACATGCCTGTAATCCTAGCGTTTGTGAGGCAGAGGTAGGTGGATCTTTGTGACGTCAAGGCCAGCCTGGTCTACATAGTGAGTTCCTTAGCCATAGGCAGCTGTGGCTACAGGGAGACCCTGTCTTAAATAGACCAAAAATTTAAAAAGAGACTGGCTCACCTCCTCCCTATGGTTGCCAATAGTTCCTCAGCTAGGGTTGGGATTTCTTACCTACTTCCCCACTTCTTTGCTGGAATTTTGTCTGATTTAAGTTTATGTGGGACTTGGCTGGCACTGTTGCTGTGAGTTCATATGAGTATCTGACCAGCTGTCTGGAAAACTGTTTCCTTATGGTCATCCACCAACTCTGGCTCTTAAAATCTTTCTCTCCTGGGGCTGGAGGGATAGCTCAGCACTTAGAAGCACTGGCTGCTCTTGCAGAGGGCCCGGGGTTCAATTCCCAGCACCCACATGGTGGCTAAGAACTGTCCATAACTCCAGTTCCATTGAATCTGAAGCCCTCTTCTGACCGCCACAGGCACTGCATGATACGGGTGCACTTAACACGCATGCAGGCAGAACACGTAAAGTAAAAATATAAAAAATATTTTGGAAAAGTCTTTCCACCTCCTCTTCTGCAACGGTCCCTGAGCCTTAGGAGGCAGGTGTTTGATATAGGTGTGTTATTCGAGGTAAGCACTCTGCAGTCTCATTCTCTGCACATTCACCATTGGCTGCACGAGGAAGCTGCTCCAGTTAGAGTTGAGAGATATTATGACAAGTCATGGTTTAATGCTAGATCTATTTAGCATAATGATAGTAGGCTTTCCCATATGTCCTGTGAACCACCTAGCCACAGGTTCCTAGGCCTGTTATCAACGTTAGGTATGGGCTCAGTCTTGTGACATGAACCTTAAATCCAATCAGAAAGTGGTTGGTTGAAGCCACTGTGGTACCAGTGAGCATATTTTGCTGGGCCAGTTGGTTATTTTTTTCAGTAGCATGCATAGCTCCTTCAGCAGTGTGAAAGACAGCTGGTAGAGGTGAAGCTTTGAAGTCAATACCAGCTTGATTTCTCCTTTATTTTACAACTTAATGAAATTATGAAATTCACAATAACTGGAAATAGTCATGCTGAGTGAGGTAATCCAGACCCAGAAAGATAAATGCCTTATGTTCTCTGTCATAAGTGAATGCTAGCTTTGAATCCTTTGATAACTCGTGTCTTAGTTGGAAAATCCATAGAGGCCAGGAAACTAGTAAGTGGCCATGGAGGGGGGTGCTTTATGAGAGGGACGGGAATAATGGAGTAGGAGAGGTTAAATGTGGTGGGGAATGGGAGGGCAGGGCAGAGAAGAGACTGGGGACGGATGAGTAACACCGAAGGAATTGAGGAAAAGCCATGTGGAAACCTACCACTATAGAAGCTTCTTAAAGTATATACATAAAAAGAAATTTAAATTGCCCCTACTAGGCACATAGGCTAGCAAAGAAAAAGCCCAATGCCAGGAATGGACTCCCTCTTTTTTTTTTTTTTTTTTTTTCCAATGTCAAAACTGGGGATTTGCAGTCATTGAGATAGCTCAGTCCCCCCCCCCGCCAGTTAATTATTTACCTAATAACCATACACTTAGAAGAAGCATTTCATTACAACAGCATTGATATATTCAGTAACAATTTTCTGAGCTAAGATGCGTCTTTTTTCAAAATCGTAAATTTTTAGGTTTACAGTTGAATTACAGTTATACAATATTGTATTCAGTATAAACCCTATAAGACATAAAATTAAATGAGGTTTTAACCTTTAAAAAAGATCTCCATTCCATTATTAAAATACACAGTTTCATACAGAAAAAATTCATTTTCAATGCAATTGACATTTGCACATGCATTTCTAATCTCTATATATCTGATTATTACTAGTGTCAGTCGGGTAGATTTCAATGGTAGTGTTTTTCACATCTAATGATTTTTTAATCATTTTTAATTTTTAAAAACTACATGATTAGAAGAAGCATTTCACTACAGCTTTAACATATTCAGTAACACACTCAAGAGCAAGAGTACATCTCTTTCACAAGTGGGTGCAAGTTTCTAGGTTCACAGTTGAGTTAATATAAAATATTGAACTCAGTATAGCCCTGTAAGACATAAAACTTAATGAGTTTTTTAACCTTTAAAAAAGATCTTATTCCTTGCAGAAAGACTCATTGTTTTTGCTACTAACAGTGAGATGTTGGCGCACGCATCTCTAATCTGTATGCATCTGATTATTACTAGTCATAATCAGTTTCACTTAGATCCTTGGTGCCTGTGTATAGACATACACAGTCAATGAAGTCAATCTGGTAGATTTCATTGGTAATGTTTATCACCTCTACTAATTAGCATGACGTAGATTTCCATGCTTCCTCCTCAAATATAATACATTTTTTAAAAAAAATTGTTTGTTCGTGTGTGTGTGTGTGTATCACACAGAACATCCCAAACCATCTTATTCGACTATACACCCACTTCCCAGATGGCACCCTCCCATAGCCTCCCTCCCCACACTAGAGCCCTTATACTCTGATATCCCTACTACTGTCTGCTGTGTTGTCGGCACCCCCAGCCGTTCCCCACTACTTGCCCTTCTGGTGAATCTAGTCAGCCTATCTAGAGGTCTTTGTTTTAGGAGGGTCAGCTGTTCTTCATCTAGCAGTAATCAGTTGTCAATACTCCTTTAGATAAGATTAGGGTCTGCTGTTCATTTTCCCAGTTCTATGCTGGGTTTCTATCTGGGAATCCCTTTGGTCACCCTGGCCAACAACTCAAAAGAAGGTATCACCTGTCTGGCATTGTTGCTTGTTATGTAGCCTTTAGCTATGCGTATGGACTCTTAAGAAATTATATTGGCCCCTTTAATATTTGGTTATACTTTCCTTTTGGATGTTTAAGGCCATACAGTTGGCCCAGATAAACCAACTGAGTTTATCCCTTAAGCTCTTTTGAGGATCTGTTCCTCAGGGGTCACATGGGCCTGGGAGGAGCCTCTGGCCCCTTTTACCAGTTCCACCTATGTGAACTTAAGTCAAAGGTCCTGCTCGACCATGGTTGGCTTCGCTTGGAAGCATGGAGGAAGTGATTCCTCTGTGTTGACCCTCCTCTTTGTAGCCTGGACACTGGTTAAAGTCCATCTGGTGGGGTCTCCTCGGCCTCCTTGATCACAATATCTAAGAGATGGAAGCAACCTAAGTGTCCCTCAATTGACGAGTGGACTCTGTCTTTTTTGAAGCTGTTGTCCAGAGTTCCCATAGATTCTCAAAAATATTAGCCATTGCCCACATTTTTCATTACCCACCAGAAGTTTTTAGAACCATTTGCAAAAGACACTACATACATAAGTTAAAGTCCTTTCTTTCTAATCTCCTTTATTTCACTTCTGGGCCCCTATTCATCATGCCGAGTTAAGATACATCATCCATAGCATGGCCTGGAGAAACCCTTAAAAGTGGGAGGATAGAATTGC